TCCCAGAATTCCCCAGCCAGCCATGCTGGTTGGGGAATTCTGGGAGTTGAAGTCCACACATCTTCAAGTGGCCAAGGTTGAGAAACACTGCACTAGAATATTGCATCCAGTGCTAGATACCACATTTTAGGAACAAGATTGACAAACTGGAGCATATCCAGAAGAGAGCGACTAAGGTGATAAGGGTCTTGGGAAAAAAACCCCCCTGAGGAACAGTTAGAGGTGTTGAGCCTGTTTAGCCTGGAAAAGAATGCAGGGAGATACGGTAGCCATATTTAAAAGGACTACCATGGTGAAGATGGGGCATAATTGTTCACAGATGCAGCAGAAGATAGGACAAGAAACAGTGGGTTAAATAATAAGGAAGTGATTTTTTTCAGTTGGATGTCAGAAAAAATGTCCTAACTTTAACAGTAGTTCAACAATAAAATGGTGGTGGACTCTCCTTCACTGAAGGTGCTTAAATAGAAAGTGAATGGTCACCTGTCAATGATGCTATAGAGTAGATTCCTGCTCTGGGCAGAGGTTTGAACCACATGATCTCCAAGGTCCTCTTCAATCTTTATATTCCATGAGTACATGATTGCTAGCACTGGAAGTAAAAAGTCTTCCCTGAAATGAAAAGAGGCCTAGGCCTAAATGGAAAACAGTTCACCTGAATACAGCACAGGTAATTTCTGTCTTATGTAACAGTCAATAGACAACTCTCTTGCATGAAGGTAACACTGATATCCATCCATAAAAAAAGAAGGAAAACAGCTAAAGCAGATGAAGACATGCAGAAGCACTAAAGGCTGGTAGTGATAGACAAAGTTGTTGGCTCCACTCCTTCAAATGGTCTGGTAGTCTAAGGTAATATCAAATTTATGGAAACAAGTAATAATAGTCTTAATTTTCAAGAAAGTAGACAATTACTGCAGGAATAGCTTGTAGTCAATTGTGGGCAAGTTCCTTGTAAAAGTAATTCAACAAAGGCTTCAGAAAGATGAGAAGAAGTAGCCAAGCAGAACAAGACAGCATCTTTTTGTCTGGAAGAAGATGCTGTGACCAAAGTCCAATGCCAATTATACATGGAATACATCAGTGTAGAAACTCATTCCTGTATTTACTGATTTTGCAGCAGCATTTGACAGTATCCATTGGCCAGTGCCACGAAAAGTGCTACTGCAGAAGGTGTGCTTGCTAAAATAATATGCCTCTTGCAGCACATAAAGGATGACACAATTCTGTTCATGACAAAATGTCCAAAGGCTTCCCTGTATTTACTGGTGGAAGGCAAGGCTGTGTTGCACCTCCCTTGCTGTTCAACACTGAGATCAATGCTGGTTGGGATGGTGTCAAACTTGGAAAAGATGAATTCATCAGAGATCAAATGTTTCCTGATGACAATGTGATTTTTCCAGACAATGAAAGATATGCCTATGAAATCCTGCTTGACATAAAAACTCCTGTTATCTATATGGCTAACTATCAATATTGACATGATCAAGGTATTCACAACCAGTGACTCCCAGACAACCATACACTTTGATGAAGCTCACTTGATCAATTTAAATACTTCAGCTCAATTGTCCAAGAACAGAAAATAGTTGCCACAGATGATATCAACAATCAAATTGGCCAGGCTGCTTTAGCCTTCACAGCACTGGCATAGTGCCTCTGGAGAAAAAAGGATTGCTACCAAAATGCACAGCTATCAGTAATGAATGTTATTAATGCTGCTATTACAGTACAAAGTCTTGGGCCTTGCTTCAAAATGATTTGAAAAAGGTTGAAATTTTCCAAATGTTCTGCTAGAGCCAAATATTGTGGATTTTAATCTATGCAAAATACAAAATGAAACAATTAAAAAATGGTGTTGCAACCAACTTATGCTAGCTGATAAAATTCAGAAACATCAAACGTGCTAGTTTGGACACCACTACCGTATGACCCCATGCCAACTTATCGACTTCTCTAGAAATCACACCCGTGGGTTGGAAAGTACAGAGATGAGTTCTAAAAAAACCTTGGCTGAAGCATGTGGAAGAAGTTCCAGCAAAACCTAATAGATTTAACCCAACAGAAGTGAAGCAACAGGACCACAACAATAAAATAACAAAAACAAATGGAGGAATATGCTATGTGACATCAGCAAACCCATACTATCTACTGATTACTGTAGATCATTACCAGGTATAAGCTAAGGATTTTAACATCAAAATCAGATAATGAATACAAACAGAGATCTGAAAGGCAAAACAACACAGAAGAAGTAGATGTGAGGTGTTTGAACACCATATTTGGGAATTTTATACAGAAACACTGTTCAAACAAATAGTATGGAGGCAGTTTTCCACTGGGCACTGGATTATACATAAATACATAACATTTACCTGAATGTATAAATGTGCATTATAACATACACATCAAAGTAGAACATTCTGTCCTAAACTGACTGTAAACTACAACTATAACTTCTCAAAATTTGCTTTCTGTTTTTATTTAATCCAGGTTATATTTCAGTGATGCCATTTTAAATGTTAACCAGATGACACTTGTGGTCCAGAAAATCTACTGAACTGAACATTATCTGAAGTGGAGCTTAAAGAAATCACCATGGCGCAGTTGCTAACATGTGGAAGTAATTACTTCTATTTTCAAGCAGATGCTTACGTTGACCAATTCGTTAGTGGAATATGGCCCACTTTGCTATGTGGAAATTATAGAGTATTCCAGCGGTATGATGCAACTGGAAGGCAGCTTCAATAAATATGGAGTTGTAAGAAGTAAAAGTACAGTTTGGGGTTGTTACTTTTGAAGTGAAAATACAATATGTGCCATCTGCAGACCATAGAAACTTCAGTATGAACTGCAAAGAAATCAGAGTACTTCTCCATAGAGAATGGAATATATATTATGTATTATGCTTCTAGATAATGTCTAAACTAAACTATTGTTTTATTTACATTACTATACATATGTTTATTACTGATCAAAATAGCTTCCAAGAAAAGAATTGGTTTCTTTAAAAAAAAAACAAATCAAGTGCAATGATTAAAAAGTTATGAATGATTCATACAGTCTTAAAATACATTTCTCAAATGTAATACTATAAATTAACACTGTATATTATCTTTAAGTTAAGATTAATTTTTAATTTACGGAGATCATCTTCCATAAGGTTATTTGCATTTCATATGACTTACAATACAAGGGTACTTTTTCAAAAATTCATGTGAAATAAATATATAAATAATATAGAACAGCAGTAAATAGTACAGTATAATAAACAGTATAAAAAGTATAGAACAGCAGCATACTCATACTGCAACTGTAA